AAGACCGGAACAGAGGGGAAAGAAGATAAATCGTAGACAAAGACTAAGAAAAATTCAACGTAGAGAAAGGGGAGGCTGTGTGCTACAAATTAGGGGATCGGGCTGTCGTCACTTGTACAAAAACATTACTGAGAGATCCAAAAACTGCATGGCAAAATGCTCATTTCCGAAACACGCTATTGGTGCTTCATGTAGCTGGCTAGATGAACCTGAAATGTGCAAGAAGGTCTTCATTTGAAATTCACAGTCCAGGCTATTCCAGAGGGGCACCACTCTCATAGGAAAAGAACCTTCGTAAGTCCGAGTTCTGTGTCTATCAGGTCACAAGCGATAAGGATGCCCTCTGGATAATCCAACAGTCGAGGACATCTCGAAAATATCTGTTAATTTAAGATCAATTTCATCAGTGATAAGCTTATACATAAACCCAAAATCTATTAGCTTACGCCGAAACTCCAAAGATTCACCACTAAGGTTATGAAGTCGCTGGCTATATGACAAGGATGTTATGCCTTTACGCTTATAGCATCGATAATGAAACTTTTTTGTACTCGTTCAATCACATCAATTAATATTTGTTTGTACGAGGACCAGGTGTGTGAACAATACTCTACGATTGGCCTGACATAAAGATTAAACAAGCGAAAAAGCAGAGCGGGGTCACGCGTTTTTAAGGCCCTGAGAACAAAGTTTTCTCTTGAACTTGCTCTAGCTGCCGGATCGTGTATGAAGGTACTAAAATCTGGAGTGTCACTGTAAACAACGACGCCAAGATCACGTATTTGATTAACTCGAACCGGTCGCCTTCCGCCTGTAGTAAATGGAAAATCTGGATGAGTTCTACCTAAACCCATAATCTGCAACTTATGACAATCGTTGATAGTAAAGAGTCTCAAATCATCAGCGTATGAACTGCAGGAAGTACCCAGAAAGTACCCAATATCATACATTTTTGTCGAACGACAAGTTTTATTCTGAATCCTAAGACAAAATTGTGAGAAACGCGAAGCTGTTGTTCAGCCTCATATTGCATGAGGCTAAAACAGCCTACTATTGCCTGGATTTTACAGCAGAGTCCTCCTTTCGAAAATCCGGATTCCATTTCAGGAAGCCATTTGGTGTGAACATGCATCTGGTTGTCATTTAGAGCAGGAGGGGGGGGGGAGGGGGCGGGGTCGTAACTGGACCCTCTTCGAGGGGGGAATCGTAACTAGACCCTCTTCGAGGGGGGTTCGTACTCACAGCGCCATTTCGCACATCCCCATGCTGTACCCTGCCTAGCAGTCTCCGCCAAAAAGGCACACAAATTCGTGAATCGACGAATGAGTCTTCTGCACGGGTGGACGGGCCATTCACATCGCGTATCAGATGGTACGTGCATTACTATAAGATTGGTGGCGGAGGTGGTACCGTGACAAGTGGCGCGCCTACCACCTGCGCGATCCTGGGTTCAAATCCCGGGTCGACCTCCCGTGCCAGGCAACCAGGCCGCCCATCCCGGGACGGACGGTGAATTGGTACCAGACTCGTCTGTGAGAATAAAAACACCCTCTTGTTCATCGACTAGTCCCAGCAACTCATTGAATAGGCCACATAGCATTCAATAAGCCACTACGATTCTGAGTGGAAGTAGATTACGTGCCGCATTCCACAAAGACTTTGATCAATTGCGGCGAAGACTTTATCATTTACCCTACTATAGATTTCCGTGGCCACGCGCCTCGCTGCAGACGCAATAATACAAGTAGCCCTCGCTACAGACGCAATAATACAAGTAACCGTTGAGCGAAAATAGTCGCTGACATGCCGGTAGGTCCCGTCGTTCGTTATGAATCCGCACCGTGCAGTGCCGTACTCGTCCCAAGTAAGCGGCGCCGTGAAACCACCATTTCTAATAGTTGGCCGGAAACGTCTCTAACCCCCTCTCCCCTACGCTCTCACTCAAGAGTGCAGAATTGTGGGACAATTTGGTCAGAGCGTTGGCAACATGTTGGAGGGGGTCGTGCCAGAGGAGGGAGCTTTTTAGGATGGTTCCCTTTAGAAAAGCCGTGAACATCTTCATGTGACAATGCGTGCTTGGGAACGGCTGATCTGAGTAAGCATTGATGAGCGCACTGTTTTAACCCATTCACGACCAGGCGTGTTCCTCGAAAACGGCTAGTTTGGACCGGCGCACTTGCGAGTTCTTAGGAAGTGTTCGCCAGCAGTGATAGACAAAGCCCTCGTGACTTACTAAAAATTTCGACACTATTCAATTTACTGCTCCCAAAATCTCATTTTTTTGCACCTTTGAGCGTAGGGGTAATTCGCCGATTTAGTGTTATAGTTTTTTCCACGACGGTGTAGACATGCACGTTGAGGTTATTTGTCACTCAAACCGTAAAATACATTCACTTTTGTCCCTTCCCACTGTCCGCTGAAACTGGTATGAACTTGTGCCCTGGCGTTATTCGGCATCGTGATCACGAATCATACACAATCTATTTCGGCACTATTTACCAGTCATCCGAAATTAGTTTTCGACCAAATTCCTTCCGTAGGCTAAGTTGGCTAGAGAGTATTTCCTACGGTGGATTGACCTACTGAACACGAATATCACATCCGCTAGGCCGGAAACCTCCTGGCGCTAGCGCCACAAGCGCCTGCGCGAAATAAACCAAATCACCAAATTCGCTTAAAACTTGTTCCCAGAGGTACTTCTACCTCCTGAACACGAGCATCACATCCGCTAGGCTGGAAACCTGGCACCTGCGCCACAGTGGCCCGCGAGAAAATATTCCAAATCACCATATTTGCTGAAAAACTGTCCGTAGGAATAGTGTGGCCTCCCGAGCACGAATATCATATTGTATGCGGCGCTGGGAATATCTTGGATGGAGTAAAGGGGGTAGTACAACTGATAGCGCAACCTACTTGTGCGCGTATGCACCCATCCCATCCAGGGATAGCGATCCCTTCCTCTGCTAAGGTTGAGCCTTAGTAAAGGAAAAATCACTATCACAGACAATGAGGGGAGCGCTGCTTTTCTTCACGTCCCCTATCTGCCATGGCGCGCAGCTCCGCACAAAAGGAGTCTGTGCTCACGCGCCGGAATCGAAACAGGCATGTGTTGCATCTGACCAGGCAGTTTCAGACTGAATGGATGTGAATTCTTAGCGCCGGCACCAATTCTGGCGCCTAGTGTCACCAGCGCTAAGAGTGAGTGTACATGTTCGTACTAACGGCGTCAAATAATCCCACCACGGAGTTTTATACCAGTTTTGATGAAAAAATTGGTGGCGCCAGTTTGGCGTCCAACGGCGCCAATTAGCATCAATCATTCAGAAATGGACGTGACATTAGTGATCAGGAAAATGAGTACCCCTACAAACTATTTTTCAGCAAATTTTTTTGTCAGAGATTTTGGGCTGTGGTGCTGCTAGTTGAATCGCGCCATGGACCCTTCTAAACAACGATCTCGTTGGTCCACTGTTTAAATCAGTAAAGGTATAAAGAGTTGCTCCATCGGAAGAATTCCTTTGAAGAAGTTGAACTGTTGTAGAATTTCCAGAAACCCGTCCGCCACTCATTGTCCACCACCAGTTGCGGACATTGTCACGAATGGGTTAATAAAGGCACCGTCTGAAATTGCATCGCTGGGCGGAGTTGAGGAACAACGTCATTCGCGTGCCGCTCATGTTAGCGATTTTCCTTGATCACCGTATAGAAAGCCGTGAGAGGGTGCGTGAATGAGTTTCTTCCCAGCCTTCTATTCGGTGATTCTGGAGGTGCCTTTCAATACAAACTTACATAAAAAGGAAATGCAAGAAATCTTTGCGCATTGTTCATTTCTCTATAGAAAAATTGTTGTAGGCCAAAAAACACAAACTCCAGACCAACCCACTTCTAGTACGTGTCGAGAAGAAAGCTGGTCATGGTGGAGGGGGTGTCTACTGTCAACCAGGTGGGTTGATTGATTGGGTTGTGATGAATGATTCAGAGTTTTGAAATCTATTTTCAGATAGCTGGATATGTCGATACATACAGTTTCCTGCAGAGAGTCCTGAACATTGAATGGGTAGACTGTATTTTTTTCATTTAGTTATGCCATATTATTTGGATTACTTTCCAATGTTTCGCCTCATTTCGAGAGAGTATTTATTTTTAGTTATAAGGTGTTTGTAACAATGTTGTCAACTTCACCACTGTCACTTTTCTTTAGTTTCGCACGATTCACTCAGTCCTTTATTGAGCAAATGCTTTATTAGGGGAAAACAAATGAAAAATTCACATTTGCAAGCTTCATTGCTCAACAAAAGATTTTTGTATGTTAGAAAACCATGTATAATTTTGAGGTGGGAATAAAGCAGAAAACCAAGGGGCACTTACATACATCGTGGCCCTTAGCCATTCAGTACACGCCGAGTAGAGGAACTGTGACCGGTGACGCGCCACAGCCGCAGCTGCACCACCGCTGCTGGCTTCAGCGCATTCGGAATGAAAACATCGCCTCGGCCATTCAAACTGAAAGGCCTTAGGTTTCAATGGCCGTTAAAATACTAGGTATAGTGATATCGTCGCAGTTCGGGGGGGGGTAGTGTCACTAGGCGTGGAATTAGTCCACACCTCTGCTGCGTTTTCCACCATTAGTGGTCGGTTTAGGAAGAAAACAGCCAGTGGTAGCGAACGTCGTCAATGGCTCAATCAGCCTCTCCCAGTCGCACCTTCTAGCATGTCAGTTACACTTATATTGTAAACTTTGTTACTTTGCTGCTGATCTTTATCTTTAGGAGGAAATGCAGGCTGCTGATTGAGCCCGCGTTCAAAATTTGATGATTATCCAGCTCAGATAGTAATAACAGGGTAAGTAAGTAACACCACTAGTGAAGAAAAATCATAAGAAACCGTGCGAAAATGCCCTATGAAGAACCTCATGCCGAACTGTGGTCGCACGTGTTGAAAGCAAAGAGAAAGAGAGGAGAAGAGAGAGAGAGAGAGAGAGAGAGAGAGGAGAGGAGAGAAGAGAGAGGAGAGAGAGAGAGAGAGAGAGAGAGAGCGGTTGCGCGACTTTTCACTTGCGATATGAGCTGTTTTCCTTATCACCTCATTTTCACCATCCATAGTGGAGAATCAGCAGAAGGACAACTGCACCAACCATTAAGAATGAAGATGGGCGTTTGGTCGCAGGTGGCGCGGACGGCCGACTACCACTAGCGAAACGCGCTATCCTCTCGCTATTTAAGATGCAAGAACTAGTACATCATGCATGATCTGCGGGGAGGGCTATAATATCCAGAGAGGGCATGGAACATCGAATGAACGTGCTCTTATTAACCCTGAAATAAAACTGATCTCACTGGGAGTTCTAGCGTAATGAGATGTAGACTGCTCATAATGTGCCCAAGCTGCCATGATGCCATCTCTCTAACAACCACCAGGAGACATAAAATACTCTACACTGCTAAACCTCAAGCAGCGTGAGAACGCGGAAAATAGCTAGATCACAATGAAGCTATTCCCACTGAATAAGGAGAACTTGAACAGGAGTTTAAACATGAGGTTGCGTGCAGATTGGCATCTTGAGGGCTCATTTCGATGAAGAATGTAAAATCGGTTCTTCTATAAAAAATGAATTAGTGCCGGAAAAACACTACACGTTACAGGGTCACTGGATCTCTTACAGTGAGAACGCGTGGATGATGCAATAATTTCGAGACCTCAATACTACACTACCAAATACATTTGGGCAGCTTTCTCCTATTTGAGATCCGAGGCTCACACGGAAACACAGTTCCCAGTTGCACATTCGCCTATGGAGCAGATATGCAGGCATTTGTCGCTTTCTCTCTCTACTCTCGAATTAATACTGTGATATTTCCTAGCGTGACGTTGAGCAGATACTACTTCTCCAGTTTTTTCCTGCAGCCCGTCGTGTTAGGCAGACTTCAAACATTAATTAGTACAGCAGAACACAATGACACAATGTAAAGTGAATACTGGTGAAGAGTAGTGGACTCTATGAGCTCGAGGTAGGAGAAGATTATTTCCCGGACTCCCGCTGGATCACCTATCGAATAGCTCATTATGACATCCGCCGGGGGCCATCTACATACACTGCACATTCTAGTGATGGAATAAGCGTGGGTGCGTACACAAGATGAACATGGCGTAGAACGCGTCATGAGTTGAATGTTACGTGTGTTCTGCCACGTGTGAATATGTAGTATGTGGATATAACCAGGTTATGATACCAGAACAAGGATCACGGCATACATCACTCTATACCTCGGACCTGGGTAACTAAACATTCCAAAAGGAATAAACTAGGAGCACTGAAGGAACAGACTACTCAAAAAATATAAAATAAGAAAAATATATAATATAAAGTGCTGCCAGCAGCTATGCTGCTGAATGGAAAAGGATTAACTGTTGCCTCCGAGCTTCTCTCGAGGCGGAAACTGCATGTTTATAAGAAAAGGGGAGAGAGAGCGCGTTGCTTTGCGAGAAGGTTGAACGCGACCGCAATATGAACTGACCATGCCTGCAAGGAACGTAGGTCATGCATTGAACTAAATGAAGGATTGATACAAACTGAAACAACAAATACAGAGCTAATAAAATCGCGAAAAGTAGCGTCACGTTACTCATATTTTCATTTGATACGAGTGTTCTCCCAAACTAAAAGTTATGGTTGCAACTGCTCTGAAACAGTAACATCCCTCCACAAGTGCAGTTGCCGCCACATTTGATTGAAGTACGCAGCCATGAATTTTCCACCTCTGAGATATGGAGTGTACATGCATCCATAACATTACACAACACTTGTCATTGTCAGGCGCAATGGGAATTGAGAAGTTTCCCCGAAGAAATAACGTATTCTTTTTTCTCTCTTAAGCCTCATGTAAAATAAATCTTGTCTTCTTTTCTCTTCAATTCTTGGCGGTTGTTCAAGGCGGCTACGATGGAATTCCATGTTTCCTGCTCAATATGTCCAGATGTACATACCTTACCCTCTTTCGCCTTCACTTTGTCAGCTGTTTGCCAAAGTTTTCTTTAAGCTACAGGCACTCTGAATCAGGGCACGCCATCTTTGTGATCATCACACCGGGGGGGGGGGTCTTATTTGCTCGCGATGGAGGGGGGAGAGCCGTGACACACGGTACAAGTGGAAAGAAGTTTAAAAGGGACGATGTAGATGACAATAATAGAACTAGGCACTATTCGAACTATTCCTAGGCAGAACTCAAAAAAATATGCTGAAACTTTTTCTTCTTCCCTCACAAAAAACCCTTCGCTCCCAACCCTCCTCATCTGGTCCAGATAAATCCCAATCACTAATCCGGCAAAATCTAGAAAAGAATCCATTGCAAAAGCTACTATGAGACGTTGAGAATAGAATCTACTGAGCAATTTCCTCACAACAAAAATCAAACTCAACAAAACAAAATCAAACTCAACTAAAACAAACAACCAAAATAATTCACAATCAAAGGATAAGGAAAAAAACTCACAGGCCAGCTGGGTACCGAAACTATGGATTACTTTTGAATTTTGGCTGTTAGCTGGTCAGCGCGCTCATACAAGCTCACTGGTGCGCGCTATTTTACGGCTTGGAGCAATTTCAAGCCAAACAAGTGAAAGGTACCCCTCATTTTGAACACCATAACTTCGTTGAAAGTGAAGCTATCGAGAGGGGTAAGTGGAATGAGTAGAGCTAGGTTGGCTCTTGTCCCTGAATTGAGCGATTTCAAAAAACATTCCGATTCCAAGAAATTTCCCGTTGGTGATCATCGTTGTGATCCGTCTTGGGATTAGCTTCCTTTGTGCATGCTGTGAATGCCACGCGAGTCACGCTACTCCTGGTATGGACGGTCACGCCCTCAGGAGACTGTAACAATGTTCGTCCTGACCGATTACAATGTGCCGGCCTTTCGTTCGGAGAACATCAAACAATGTATAAACTCCTAAATGATGATACCCTGAGTTAACTAGAGACGGACGTCAGAGGAGAGTTTAGACTATTGGCAGGCAAAAGGTGGCAGCTTTAGACTTTGAATACCTCTCATACGTGAGAAGTGTCAGATCTCGATAAAAGATTCCCCCTGATGTGAGACAAACTTCCATCAAATCCAATGGAATTGCAGGACATTACGGGCCAACCACTTTACGATACAGGCTGGCGTTTATCCTTTGGCAGCGCGTTAGCCGTAGCCGTTTCCCAGCGTACGCGGCCCGTGTGTCGATCATTTCGTGATCACCCCCCACGACACGAAAAAACAACCCCTCCGAGGCCAGGAAACCTCCAGTTGGCTTGAAGACTTTGGTATGCTTCTGAAACACATGTCTCCGCAAAGGGTACTAGGAAATAGTTTACTGGGCGTCAACTGGCATTACCTGTGCAATGCGCCATGCATGCGGCTTTCACGCAGGTTTTGGTTGGAAAGGTGTAACTTCAGAAAGGGCTTCCCAAGTGCAAGCACATGTGCTCCTACGATCAGAAAAGTCTGGGAACGTACCTTCATCTGCTTATTACTCGTCACGTCGTGTGTCCTTTTGTTTGTTCATAAATTCATGGTGCCCTTGTGGGCGGTGATCGTAGCTCCTATCATCGCCCCTTCCCCGTACGTATTGTAAGTATGCTACAGCAGCGCCAGAGTGCTGGACGTGCTTGGGACGTACGTAGGTGCTGCGACCTCCCCTCCCCCCCGCTCGACAGCAAAATTTTGTAAAAAACCAGAAATTTTTGGGAAAAATAGACAAAGTGGTAGGAGGTTGGAAAATCTAGGGAAGAGGTAACATGGGGGGGGGGTCGTACTTAAAGATGGGATGTACAGGGGGGGTCGTGTTTTTGCAGGAATTGATCTACAGCTTTGTCAGTAGCATATCGGAGTGCCCTGTAGGTCCCCGCCCCCCGCCACGGGAGTCGCTACCCTCCAGCCCGTTCCTGTGCACTTTTGGCCGGAAGAAGTGGCACGCTAGTGCAGCTGCTAACCCATTCTTTTCACACACGGCAAGGGCAGGATCCATGGAGTTGAGTGTACAATTTGTCTCTGAATGTGTCATGTGAACGCTGATTTTCGTTTTATCTTGCAGCAGTTTCGGTATACAGTCTGGCCTTAGTACTCCTACACAGTTTATAAGTGGTGTTGTTTTAGGTATTCCCCATATCAAATTCCGCGAAGAAGGACAATGGCCATCTACCTTGATGTTGACTGCTGATCATGACGATCGCGTTGTTCCAAGTCATACGTTGAAGTATGCGGCTGCATTGTATGAGAAGGTGAATTTTTATCTGATTGGCCGATGAGCTGTGATAATTATATTTAGTTCTCTTGTTTTACGGAAATAAGGATCTCATTTAGAAAGGAAGATGCAACTTCCATGTTTACTCAGAGGGAAGGACCATTGGCTAAGAGCTTGCGCTACCCCATCTCTTCAGAAAATTGTTTGAGAATGGGGCATATAGGTAAAGTGGCCTTTTCTCGATGTTGCCGAGGGTCAGTAGCCCTTTTGTGGGAGAGAAAAAAAATCAGGATCACAGCAGTTCGCATGGAGAAAGGCACACAGATGTGCGGAGCGAGATGGGTATTTTGTGGCCTTGGATGACGCGGAAGTGCTACAATGACAAAGCAAGCGCCTGCCGCTTACCACGCGTTCAATTTGGAGTTCGAATTTTGAATCGGCTCCCCCTGACTAAAAAATCCAAATCCTGAATCGGCTCCCCGTGGCTGAAAAGCCTTTTATTCCTCAGAGGCCGTTGAATCGGTACCAGGCTTCCCCGGGAGTGTAAAAACAGCGGGATGATACGATGCATTTCAATGTGTCTCTTCGCACGTAAGAGTAGATGACGTGCCGCAGGTCCGCTGTTCTCCCCCTCGAGTGCTGCTGTGGTCCGTCATGTATAGGGGAAACGTTGATAGGTGAAGAATATAGTCATAACTCAGAGTATCACAAATAATCTCTGCACTTTGCCAAAATATTTTTTAGGCCAACAGCAAGGACTCCAGACCAACCCACTTCTAGTCCGCGTCGAGGTCAAGGCTGGTCATGGTGCTGGGAAGCCTACTGCCAAAGTGGTGAGTTGAATATTCGAGTTGAATTTTTAGGTCCGACGAGAAGGAAGTGCATCGTTGGGCAACATGGAACCGCTAGGGTGCGGGCATTGTTCCCCACCTTACCCTTTACCATTAGAGGAATACGACCCGCGTCTAGAATGCTCAGCAGATGGCTGCCTGCTCACGTCAGTCATGTGAGGGATCATACTTACCTTAACTATGGCATTGCTTCTCTCAGGCTGAAATTTCTCTCAACGGGCAACGATACAAGCGATAAAACGCGCAACAGAGTAGTAAAAGACCGTTACCACATGTTTCAAGCCTCTGGTTTCTTTTTGTCCCCGGGGTGTCTGAGTGTGAGCTCGAGCTGCAATGTGACGTCGTGAGGCCCAGTCGCTTCCGTTAAAGGCAGTTGACACGATGGTTTCCCACTTAGCCTAAAATGCTCGTAGGGCGCTGTATAGTGGGGTGAAATGGCGAAAGAACTTAATGAAATGGTCAAAATCCTGCGAAGAAAAAGCCTCCGTTCTCAGTGACTTGAAAATCGATTTCAGACGAGTTTCCCGTAGACATCTTGCCAATCACCGCTACCGAAGATACGGCTGCATTTGTGTACCCATATATACATGCTGCATCACGGTCCTTTCATACCAATTCCTTCTCGTCATTATTTGCTTAGCAAATGAATGAATACGAGCGTCAGGAACGGTCGTCCATTTGTGAGCCGGCGGGCGTGGCGTGTATTTGGGACGTAATGTTGTGGCTTGATAGGGCCCCTATGAGGGCACCTTCCTCGGGGAAACCGCTATGCAGCTCCTGCCCAGGGTGGCGGAATTCTATCCTAGCGGGAGTATTGATTCTAGTCGTCTTGGGGGATTTATCGTGCCAACTGCCTTTAAGAATCCGAGTCTGTGGATGGGAAATCTCGGCTGATTAGGGCGAAATCTCCTATGTATAGTGGAAGGTGAAACGATAGTTCAGAAGGGTGACATGACGACAGTTGGACTGTCTGATGGGCACGCGAGCTAAATTCAGAGAAGCAGGGTAGCTCCCCGACCTTCTGGCCTGTTCCCGTACTAGAGGTATGACGAGCGTACATGGCGACAGGAGCATGGTTTCATTCGGTGCATACACACGCTCCCAAGCTTCTAGGCAAGTCACGACTGGAATAATTCCGAATGTTGCTAAAAGAAATCTGTTTTCAGATAGCTGAAATAGTTGATATGTACAGTTTCCTGCAGAGAGTTCTAAACCTCGAATGGAGAGACTGATTTTTTTTCATTGGTTAATCATAATACCGTTGTTGATAATTGTAGGCATTAACGTACGACATTTAAGTTATTTCGTGTTCTTGACTTCATTCCGAGGAAGATTTTGGATAAAGTTATTCAAGCGTCTAGGTCAATCTGGCATTGTCGCTTTTTTTTCCTTTGTTGTGCTCGATTCTCTATGTATACCTACAGCCTAGAGGGGGGCCAAAAAAAAAGTCATTTTGCCTCCATGACTTTCAAGGCGCTATAAGTTACACTTTATTGAAATTTTATCGGACATTTTTACTACCATATTAAAGAGCACATTAAAATTACTATAATGAAGCTCCGCCACAGCCTTCTGGAGGAGCGCATCGAGAGATACGGCCGCACGAAAGTGAGTGGGTACCGGAGTTGAGCGAGATTGTTGATTTCTCCCACCACTGTAGACCACCCTGTTGAGCTCCGCCCGAACCGACGAGTAATTGAGGGGGTTAGTTCAGGACCCCCGCTTAAATACTCCATCTTCTTCAGGTACGAAACGCCCTTCCATTCGAAGTAGCGCGGAGTTTTTTCCAAACCCTTCAATTCCATGTGGTGGCACCCAAACCTGTAGCAGCACAAGGTCCTCAAGAAGGTACGGGCGACCACATGTAGGGAGGATATTGCCCTCGAGTTGCTCGATGTAGCCACCAGCGCACACCCTCAGTCTGGAGCCCACGAAGGAAACAATCGGTTAATCCATTCCAGGTACGGCCGGTCCACACCATCAACCCGCGCCTTGGCGAATGGGGTGAAGATTGATGTCCTGGACGGTAGCGACGTTGCCGGAGCTGCTCGGTGTTTGAGGTCTTGCAGATTCAAGAGTACTGGTCTCTCAGGTAGCTATCCATGGGTGATTCCATTCAAGAAGTTCCGCATCTGTTTGGAGGCCACGCGAATTCAAAGGCGTTCTCCACTCAGGCCGCGACGAGGATGATGACTTCATATTTTGGTGTACATGAAGGTGAATGGCGGCAGCCGGCTCCTGCTTATAGAGGATTTTGGGTAGCTTCCGCCCTGGTACTCATATCCACTTCCTCTGTCTGGGCTGCGAAAACTTCGCTCATATGTGACTCGGCCGGAATGACTTTTTTTTTGCCCCCCTCTGTATATTGAGTAAAACACACCTATATTGAGTAAAACTTTTGTTATAAGGATACCTGATGACTGGTTTACTGTTGTAAGTGAAATTCCTCAATAAATGATGCTTGAATGAAAATCGCGATGAAGGTGACATCAGTGGAGGACTTTTAGATCATGAATCCGAACTATTCCTGCGAGGCAAGGACGAGTTCCCTCAGCCTTGATACCTGCTCGTACAGCTTATGGTATGTGGAGCCAACTCGATGCCGTGGTAGTTGGAGCAGTCCATTGCATCTCATTTCTGCTTGAACTTGGGGACAATTGTGGTGCTACTCCACGCCTCCAGCAGCCTTGCTTCGACTTTAACAATGTTCAGGAAGAGCTCTTTTTTTCTCAGGCTACAGGGAGTCTGAACTTCTTAAAAAAATTGCAGGTTCACTTACAGGCGCGTGATTGCAACGAGCAACCTTGGAAGCATTGTTGGCCGTATTCGTAAAAATGGAAAATTGTCGCCCCACGGGAACCCATCCCATGACTTTGTCTCTTTGTCCCTTTCGCTACGTACTGCGCTCCATTGCCACACTACGATGTCTTCTTCTGATAAATGTAGCACGTTCCGGACCGCGTGACACACACGGTGTGTCACGAATTTCTCTCTTTGCGCTCCTTCATAGTTATGTTCTATTCGGCGTCTTTCATGCTCCACTGTTATCAGGACACGTTTTTAGGCACAGAATCAAATCCCATAGGAAAGATTCAGATGAAAATACTGATTCCCGATTTGAAAACAGATGAAGTTGCGAAGATCCTTGCATCACGGCGGCCCAGAATGTGTCGGAGACGCTTCCAAGATGATCTCATGCGATAATGTGTAAAATAACAATGTGGAGAAAATATATCTGTGCAGCTCCGCTCAAAGGATCGTTTCGCAAATTCACAATCACAATTTTACATCATTGCTAATAACCACACTGCCCGTTGACCTTCTCTAGTAGGTAGGAAATGCTGCCACTTCGTGTTAAAGATAAAGTCCACAATCAGGCATGGAAGCTGAACCTATGGATTTGGGAGTTTAATGTGGTCCGCGTGAACAATCTTGTACCGGTTTAGCGGCAAGAACTTGTAAGGGAAGTGCGCTATAGCGCAATATATGTTCAATGACGCCTCCTTTTTTCCAGTGACTCCCCCCTAGACTCCGCCTTCAAGGCCCAACTTTCAGTGAAAAACGAAGCTGCAGGACGAAAGTGCATGAAAATTGTCACATGTGCGGTCATAGACTTCTTATCGTGGATCAGCTGTTCGCTTGAGGGCGTGGTGTTCGAGACTCAGTTAGTTGGGCACGTACGAACTGGGATAGGGATGGGGCTCTATCAAGGGCAGTTGGCATGCTTCTTTCCTGCTCTTTCCTTTACTGTCGAGTTACTCAAAAGTTGTCGTAGATATCAGCAAACGCCTAATCCACAATCTGTGATGGCGTATGATTGCGAGCTTGCCTTTATTCACCTCCCCTCAATATCCCTGAACAGGCACCCCACAGTCTCCGAGAAGAGTAACGATTCCTAGCAAATCGGAGGACTGCACAACCACCCATCAGTCACTTTTGTTGCTGTTTACTGTGATTATTCTAATTACTTGTTAGTTGAGAGTGGTCGGAATAAGTTATCACTGTTCTTCACGAGTACAATTTTCACTTTCTTCCAACTTTGTTTTCTCTCAGCTCTGCCTCAGATAACGCGTATTACAGCTGTTCTCGGAACTGCTGTGATCCGCGTTATCAGACGCAAAACCGTTTCGCATGTCTGTGCGCTGACTCATTGGAATATCATCAGGAGACGTGACGAGGAGGCAAGAGGAAACTGTCAGCGAGTCGACTGCCGGATCAAAGCGAGGCCCTACTCCTACAAACTCACTTCTACTTCATTTTTGCTCCTTTGCCCTGCACAGGGCGCTTCCAGTGTTTATGGCGCTGTACAGACTGTTCTCAACCATTTATCTTATTTCGCGCTTTCGCTCCCGATCACATTTATTTCACATGCACTTCAATATCAGCTCACTATTACATACATCTACTACTTTTATTTCTATTACTCTCGAGCGGTTGGTGTATTTTGGGCTAAAGTAGCTTGAAAATTCCTTGGCACTGGGTATAGCGCAATATAAGTTCAGTAGTTCCTCCTTTTTTCCAGTGACTCCGCCTCCAGACTCCGTCTCCAATGCCCGGCTTTCAGTGAAAAACATGGTTGCAGGGCGAAAAAGCATGGAAATCGTCTTTTGTACGAGCGTAGGGTTTTTATCGGTGAATCAGCGTGCGAGTGAGAGCGTAATGTGGGAGATAGAGTTAGTTAGGCACGTACAAATTGGGATCAAAATGGGGTTCCGTCTAGGACAGGTGGCATGTTTTTTGTGCTTTTTACTTCACTGGCGAGTTACTCAACCCTTGTCGTCTATAAGGAGCCCCTAACCCACTATCTGAGATGGCGAGTAATTGCGAGTTTTGCCTTTAATCTCTTTCACACTCACTCTTCACTTTCTTTCTCCTCGCTTTCCATGCTTAACATCGCCCGACATCCCTTACGCTTTTCTACACCGACGTGTACGTCAATGTTGAGCAACATCCACAGTATGTTCACTGCGTTTTCTTCCCGTTTCTCTTCCCTTCGTTAAAAGCTTCGCGTGTCGCGTAGCGGCTCAGTTCAAGAAAAACGAGTTCAGCAAAGATTCCTTTGTACAGCTCTGAGGCACTCTCATAAATCAACTAAATTCCGTCATAAATTCAGAAACAACGGAAGCTGTGAGAGCAATGTTGCGCACTAACGTCCTTCTCTACCTGGTGCTTTTGCTGTATGTGTCACCTACAGTGATTGTAGATTCTCATCAAAGCGTGAGTTTTAAATTAAATGTTTTCATTTATTCCTTCCAATTTAACTGGAATTGCACGATGCACCAAGTTTCAAGCGAACTCCAATTCGCCGCTCGCTCCAGCTGATGATGAAGCATTCGCCACAATCGCCGTCGATTCAAATCTCTCCATCTGTCTATCCAACTCCTCGTCGTGATGAGTCAGTTGTGGACAACTTTCACGGAACAGTGGTTGGTTTGAAGTAATTAACTATGAACACTAATATTTATGGGTTTGTACTCATCCAATCCTCAGAAGTAAGGAAGAGAAAACTCAGTCACGACCATTCACAGCGCTTTGTCGTCGGAGTTGTCACTAAGGTGCAGCCTCAAGAGGTTGTCAACTTACTTTTGGTTTCGTTCGGCTGCGTCTTCAGAAGGTTGAGCAAAACCACTTCTGTGTAGAAGCATAAGGCACGGCGCGCACTCGTACCAAGTCGATCGATGATAACCAAACTATGGCTTGACTCAGTTGAACGGAAATATGTGTTATGAATGTATGGTGACATTCGCGAATAAGTATCCTCACAATGGCACAGTATTTAGGAGTCGAGCAGACGCCACTCGGGTACCACTAAGCCCCTTCCCGTGCACTTTTGTGCAAGATGAGAAAACTGAGAACTACTGACAACCTTTCTTCAGGTCCCAGATCCATACCGATGGATGGAGGATCCTGACGCTGAAGAGACGCATCACTTTGTCGATCAGCTTAATGCGATCTCGGAATCGTTCCTAGCCAAAGCTCCAAGTCGCGAGAAGATCAGAAAACGGTTGGTAGGGTTTGCCGAAATGTATTGAATTAAGACGAGGTTACTCCTGCTGTAACAGCTTGACTACAGGCTTACTGAGTTATGCGATTACGAGAGATACAGCTGTCCATCAAAGCGTGGAGATTTCTACTACTACAGCTATAATACTGGGCTTCAAAATCAATAGTAAGATTTAAAGGATTCAAGATTCACTCACATTTTTGGTTTAGGCTTTTCTTAATCATGAATGAGTAATGTTTGATGTGGTTCAGCGTGATCTACCAACAAAAGAACGTGGGTGAGAAAGGCGAGGTATTCTTGGATCCAAACACACTCTCACCGGATGGGACCATAGATCTCGCGTAAGCTTGTTTATATTTGTGTTCTTGAAGGGTTTTCAGTCGCAGAAATAAGGGATCGTCGGATGTATTTACTCCATTTTTATAATAAGTCGGTGGCATTGTAGAGCATATCCAACGCGCTCATCCTCTTGAGTCAAGTTTGTAATCGCTGACGCGTCCTCCATTGCTACACGCGGCATGCTGCCAAGCTCGAGGCAAACTATAAAGAACTGAAGGCACACGTAAAGGTCATGCTCATCAGCGAGGTGGAGCCACTCCAGAGGACCGGGAAGCTGTTACTTTAAGGCAGTAATATCAGGGCATCAGATAGGATGGGGAAGAACCATCCAGTCGTGACAGCGCAGCTTCATTCGAACCAAGTTCGTTTATGTGCTCTCCCTACTGTCGAGCGTATGACGCGAAATCTATTAGGTTGCCCGGAAAGTTCTCAGGGTTTCGTGCTTCGCGACGGCAGCGCTTCGGCAGCGTTAATACATTGCGACAGCAGCGGCGATCGTAGCGATCGCCGAGGTCGCCGCGATCGTCGGTGAAAGGCAGAGCGCCTCCAACGCTATTACTTGGGCCGCTCTCAGATAAAAGAGGGAATCCGACTTGTGAGCTCTTTTTTTCTTCTAGTAATGGCTACTATTTAGAATTTTTCTCTAAAGAGGATCTGGAATACGAGGAAAGGGGTGTCAACTTTTTTTTGGGGCTGAACTAAGGGCTACTTCATTTAATAGGTGAGTTTCTTTTTGTTTATTTGTTTTCATTGTTTCATTTCACATGAGGGTCTTGAAACTTCCTATGGGTGGAAATGCTCCAACTCCCAAAACATTTGTAGTTTACAAGCCGAATTCAAACAACAAAAAAAAGAAATAGAATGAAACCCATTCAGGAATCGAAACACTAATGTCTTATGCAAGATCAAGAAGGAGGAAACTTTATAAATCCATGTGTTAGTTAGAGGAATGAGAATAACACTAGGAAACGTACTCTAAGTGGAGTTTCTACGCTTTTTGCTCACTTCTATCCTAAATCAAAAAAGAAAAGCCATCAGGTTTAGTCCACCTTTCCTCGAGTCAAATCAAGCTTTCATACCACAGACAACTGTAATAAAAGAAGCACGAAATTAAGTCGATTACCCTAGCAGCACTCGGAGCGAAAAGTAATAGCGTTTGGGCGCGCTCTGACGTGTACCGACGATCGCCGCTGCTGTCGCGAAGTATAAACGCTGCCTAAGGGGCGTAGAGGGGCGCATGGATACTTTCTTCTGGAAGAAAGCTGCACTGTTTCATGTCTCAGCAGTATTCTTCGGATAAAGGGACCGTCTCCGGTCTTGTTGACAACAAAGAGAAAAAAAACCGTGTTAGCTCCGCAACGGTGTCGCGGACCCTCATTGGGTGTCCCCACAGCGACACCTCTACTTTTCTTGACTATTTGTTTTATTATTCAACGACCCAAAGACCCACCGAAAACCCAAAAACCCAGAAAATGGTGCAAGCCTACACGGCGAACCGGCTTGAAAGACGGAAGCTGATACTGCCGAAATCCTACCATATATAAACGGCAACGTCTGTCTGTCTGTCCGGAAATTCGGAATTACCTGAAGAGCCAGTTGGAGGGAGCGGGTCAAGGGTGGGTTGGGTAGGGCATGGGCCAACATGTACGGAACACTCATGAACTGAGCCAAGCCCCGCCCACTACGGGCGGGGAGTGCGCACAGTTTTGAGCTACATATTTCAAAAATTCGTAGTTCGGTTCTAGAAGATCCCGGAGAGCGGAATTTGTGGGAAACGATAAGCAGTCAGTTGGCGGATGAAATGAGGGAGTCACACCCGTGATGGGCCCGGCGTGCTACAGGTGGACGGTGCTCGCTACAGAACATTCAAAAATTCGTAATTCGGTTCTAGGAGATCCCGGAGAGTGGAAATTGTGGGAGATAGGCAAACAGTTGGCGGACGAAATGAATGAAGCACACCTGCGATGGGCAGGGCGTTCGCCGAAGTGAACGGTGCCGGGGACAAGACGCGCGCAGCACCGGAACGGATGGCTCAAAGTCGACTTGCGTATGGTGAAGTTTTCGGGGACAAGTCCGGTAGAGGTAATCAAGGGAAGTGAGGTAAGGCCAAGCAGAGCGTTTCATCGGAACCTTGGAAGAAGCCTCACTCGAACCGTCAGGGCTAGAAAGGCTGGAAGCACTCACTGAACTTCCTAAGTGTTATCAAGGAGCACCGAGTACTTCGACATCCGCACAGTCTTCAGCATAGTTATACCACAGAAGTCAGATGCAAACGTTTTGGCGCTGCTATGGCGAAGTAGTCGGGCCCATCACAGAATGCCAGGGAGGTGGTATCGGGTGGGTGAAACTGCTTGGCCACGAGAATTCCAAACTGGAAAGAAAAAGTGGATCCCAGCTTGCGCGAAGGGCCGTCATTATCAAGTCTTGAATTACATATGTACTGACGGAATATGGCCAGTGTGGAAAATATATGTCAAAAAAAGCATAATCAAACTGTTCAAACTTCAAGGCGGAAGCAATCACCTCACTCACGGCTAACCCAATACCAGGCAAACCAACTGCAGTCGAAAATATTGACGGTACGTGCGTGCAATGGTTGCATTGCAGGAATCAAAACAAATCCAGGGAAAGCTAGGATAGGAAGCGCATTTGTTGAGACTGATTGTAGATCGTGCGCAGGGACGACCGGGATGGTCCCCTTGAAGGATTATACTTACTTTCCCATCCCACAGGTCCCGATGCTGTGCTCTTATTCTTAGTTTTTATTGGTCGTTTAGCAACGAGGTATGGACAAACGATGGTTCGCTTCTCGCGTACGCTTTGAGCGAAAATGGTAGCGATTGGATGACTGTCAAGGTATGTTCGTTATTTGTCCCGCCCTGATGTGAAACCGAACTGTTCACTCACCTCCCAGGACGGTCCTAGGCATGTGCGAAGTACAGGCTGGCCTGTGAAACACGCTCGTCACTTTAGAGGGGCAGAAACGAGCTAAAAGAGATGGTGGTTCGTCCGCGATATCCACAAAGCTCAATACTTGGTCGATACAGAATCCTGCCACGAACACCCAGTTAAAAGTAAAGACTCCCTAGACCTGAGATGGTGCAGACAAGAAGCGCGTTTGTCTATGCTTAGGAGTGTGACGAGCCATTCGGCAGCGCTGGCGAAGTCTGGAGAGTGTACTCGGGTGTCGCTAGCCTTTAGCTCCGTTTCTTTGCGCCCGAGCAACCAGCATGCTACTTCAATGGCGCACCCATTCACCTCGCAATGAAAAAAACCAGTATCCGGGAATGAGTGAGCAGTTTGTCTCAAGAAGAAACTTTGGTCTAGGATTCTCTTTATTCAGAGGAATGATTGTGTTTATTGTTGATTTCCGGACTGCCAGAGAGTGTGGAGTGTTGAACGTATGGCGCAGAGCTCTCTTGGCTTTTCTACTTCACTGCTAAACTTTCCAGTTTTCGTTCTTTGCAGTGCATACTAGTTCATGCGTTCTAGGTGCTGAGCTTTGAGGACGAGAAATGAGCTTCGGCTCCCAAATACCTTACGAATGTGTGAATATCGAATTTATTTTGATTCCGGAGTCACAAGTACAAATAAGCAAGTGCCTTAGCGTCAGGGCACGCCATCGTTGTGATCATCACAGCGGGGGGGGGGGGGTCGCATCCGAATGCGAGGAGGGGGGGGGGTGTCGTATTAGGTCTGGGAAGAATTTTTTGATAGTTGATTCTCTTCTTTCACGGACGCTATAAAGGGGGAATGGTCGTATATGGTCATTGTCTGGGAAAGGGACTGCAAATCTATACAAAAGCTATTTCCTAAAGTTGACAATGATAGTCAAATTCTCCTGGCCCCCGACTCCCCCCCCCTCTCGCTCGACAGGAAAGTTTTGGGAGAGAACCAGAAGTTTTTCGGGGATTTTGGAAAAACTGATGAGAGTATGAGAAACTGAGAGATGAGAAATTTTCCGTTTTACGTCGGGTACATAGCCTGCTCCCGCCTCGCTCGGCGGAAAATTCTTGGCTGAAAAACTGGAAGTGTTCCGGGGAAAATCATAAAGGTGGTAAATTGGAAAATCTCGGAGTGTAGGTAGCATGGGGGGGGTCTGGGGTCGTTTTTTGCAGAAAATGATCACAACGCGATGGCGCCCCGCTTGGCGCCACTTGAAAGTACACGTCACAGTTGCTGGAGGCTTCTGGTGATTTGATGTTACTAATTATTCTCCCAGAATTTGGTAGGTAACTCGCACGCCAGACGAATCTAATATGGTCAGTGCCCAGTGCAGTCAGTTGTTGTATGGCTCAGATGTGTGCTTGGTCGTGTGACTTATGAGGTGACAGTTGGGTGTAAAATGGACATTAATGGCGGAGGGGTGGGGATGTGGGTACATATGAGTAACACTGAGCTGTCAGAATTCTTTCATCATCGCAGCGCACATAAAAGTGCGAGAGCGGTATACGCTCCACGGACCTGCACATCTCACATGGATAGGAGTCCCCTCTCAAGTGATCATTCAGCATGCCGTTGACAAGTTGACGGCATTATGAGCCGCGGGTGGGTCGTAACTTCCTGCCCACTTTTTGGGTTGTTTCCGTTGGTTCTTTTGAAGTTTTTTTTGTGATCCTTAGCAAGAATTCTCGATCAAAGTCCATATCAAAACTCGAATTTCGGGAAAGTAAAAGATAAATAGCGTCAAGACTAGTCATCTTGATCTAGAATATCAACAGACTGAAGTGTAAAATTTCAGTTCCGTAGTGTAGACAAGGAAGATCTCAAGGATACTATCACAGGAGTGAAATATAGTACTCTCGCATGGATGAAAGACAAATCAGGGATATTCTACTCCAAATTTCCCGATCATAAGGTGCATTTGTCTTGCTTCGGATACATCTACGGCCCACATCTCTGGGACACTCTCGCCGTAACTGCGTACTTCGTTTGAACATGGCGTAGAATAAGGTAATCATAAAATATTCCAACTCGAAACAACAGCTATCTTTTCTTGTGCCAAAGAAAGGCATGGCTGCAGTTGTCCCAAAATAAAAAGATGTGACGAAATCCACTACACCCGCTATTGTTCAAATGAAGCACATGGCTAGAACTATACACACATGGGAAATACTTGCAGCACATTCAGAGTATATCTGTTTAGTCAGGTTTCTCTGGCAAGTCAGTGGAAAAGGACAAAAACCATTCACTTTATTTCCATCGTATGGGTACTGACTGCAAGGACGATGTTATTGTGTACGATCGTAAGGATGACAGTAACCTTCTCATGTGTGTCACTCATCTTCGACGGGCTGTACAAGTAATTTAAACTGGAATTAATGACCAATTTGCAGTGGAGGAATAGTGACAGAAGACGGTCGCTTTCTTATTATCTCTGCTTCTCGATATCCATATAATATGCTCTACTATTATGAGTTATCTTCAATGAAAGGTCCCATTGGGAAAATCGACCCCACCCCTCTATTCGATAAGTTGGACGCGCAATACGAGGTTTTTTTTGTTTTCGAAGTTATTTCAAGACTCATTTGAGAGTTTTTTTTATTACGGTAATTATGGTAACTGTTGTTTAGTGCTACATTCTGTGCCGCGAAATTTAGCGCAGGAACCTGGGTGAAGAGCAAAACTCACCCAACTTAGCGGCCAAACTTTATGAGTTTATAGTTTTGTGACTTCGAAGCCACTGGCAAACGTCAACGTTACTAATTATTTCACTTGATACGTCGCAATCGTTGGTGGATTAAGGGATATGTGAAAAGAGAACCGTAATTCTCTGCGAAAGTGGTGTCGGGACGTCACGCTCGCGCATTACGATGTTTCTAGTCGCAAACGGTAACAATAGGTAAAACGGAACTAAAGTGCCCACGATGTTGTGGTAGTGGAACCCTACGCATCAAGTGGCAGCTAATGTACTACCTACAGTCGTCATCCGGGCAGTTGTTTAGGCGGTCAAAGGGTCGCAGACGCGGTTGCGCCGCGTCACGACCGCGGCGATCAGCTGTTTCCAGCCTATTTACCCATTTTCTCCTTGATTTGCATTTTTTTTGGCTCTTTCTGTTCAGCTTATTGTTCCTTGTCCTCAAGGTTAATTGTGATTGACATTTCTCTAATTTTTGCGAGCAGTTAAATAAGTAAACAAACAATTAAACAAATATCGAACAAATCGCAAAAACACTTCATTACAAAAACAAAGAAAGAATCCACGTGTCTCCCCCCAATTAGCCTCCTAACTCTTCGCCAACCTCATACCATCCTTCCCCTTCTCTGGCCGCACTGGGAACGGATTATTAACTTTTACTTGCTGCACTGCCAACTTTCAGCGCATGCCCCGCCTACTGCGTGCGGGACTCACCAGGAAAGGACAACAGGTCAGGCTGGCCATTTTCAATGAGCTGCAAACCGTTGTACGCGTCTTGGGACGGTGAAAGCAAATCTACCTTCAGAATTTGCGGAACGATTCTCTGAACGGAGTTACGGAAGGTCTCATCCCAGCGTGCTCGTTTCACATGCAATCGCGAGGAAACGTGAAAGCGTTTCCATTTACATTTATGTTATGGAGTTATGCTGAAACGTGTAGAGCGCAACGGTAGGGAGCTGGTTTCTTGGCGAGACGTCGTAGGAGCGGTCCGGGGCAGATCGCTTTTTTTTGCATTTGTTCAAGAAACACAGCCGACAAAGCTCCTAATCTCTGCTCGCTTGCACTATCTATATAGCGAAGCTGCGATCAGTTTTTTTGAAAGTGTAGACTCATTGTGGCCTGAAAGAGTGCTTCTGTTTGTACCCCTCCTAACACGTGTCACAAGGGTTTTTGCAATGAAATACCATCATATTCACGTTCAGCGGGTTAAATGACCGCTAGTGGCAAGTTTCTAGCCGAATCTGATATTTCGACATCACTTGGAAAATGTGGGCTATTCCATGGGTAATTAGCAGCAAATTGGAGCTCACCTACCCTCGATGACTGGCCTCGGAATGGGATTTTCTCCCTATGGTCAAAAAAATGATGCAGACAGCACAAATAAGTAAGCTAGGTACTGTACATAACTGAAGAGTTTTTTCAGTTCGAAGACCAGTCATCACCAGCATGCTGCTCGTAGTATCGCTGTTGGCTATCAGTCAGCCATGACTATCCATACCCCATTTTTTGGAAGTTGAGTCAGAACCTCAAACTTTGCTAAGGTGACCTCCCTAGGGATTATTTGACCCCCTGAACACGAATATGATACCTGTTTTGCGCGAAAAGAGCTGTGAGTTGCGTTACATGTGGCATTCGGCGCCAGCGCGCCCGCAAGAAGAAAAACAGCAAAGAAAAACCTCTCTAACTCCGCTCAGAGAGTCGTTCCGCGAATTTTGAAGATAGTTTTGAGTTCATCGTCTCAATACGAGCACAACGATATGCATCTCATCGCAAATGGCCAGGCTGACCTGTTGACCTCAAGTGTGCTTTTTACATCTTGTACCATGCTCTATCCATCCCAACCTTGACCCCACCTCTCCAAGTGTTCTTCAGGTTGAACTGCTTTTTTGGGAAAAACAAACAGATGTAGAAAATTATAAATGGTGGGTGATATTGCAGTGACGTTGAGGTCATATCTGCCTTCCTGCCCCACAATAAACGCACTTTTCAGTACATTGATCACGACAACGATTCTATGCTGATCTACACCAATCACAATGCTCCTATGTTTAAGTTAATAAGAATCTCATTGAAAGATAAATCAATTAAAGAAGTCATACCTGAAAATCCTCATCACTTGTTGTACTCGGCTACGCCAGTTGCCAACGATCGCCTTGTTGTCATCTATATTGAAGATGTAAAGGTGCGTATATTAAGCATAAGTTCTTTTCCCATTGCATCAATGCTTTTCTTGTTGCAGCATTCCTTGTACGTGCATGATCTCAACACGGGGTCACGACTATATTCGATCCCACTAAAAATGGGGTGAGTAATCTATTCTAGTCCTTGTTGAGCACTCTCTAAGCTGTTGTGGCGCTTAACATATCCCCGTTTCAGGGAAATTTCCATTTCTTCCGCTAAGAAAAAATACGCTGAAATGTTTCTCTGTTTCGAATCTTTTTTGGTCCCCACCATCGTCTACCGTCTGGATTTTGCAGCCGCTGACAGGGATGTCGCACCAGAGTTACAGGTCAGCGTTACTCTTCGCTGACAAGCAACTTGTAAGGGGAGAAGAAGTATAGTAATTGGTCCACACTTCTAGATTGCATCGTGCCTTCAATTTTCACAGAACTTCGTTGAGGTCATAGATACTTGGTCCTTAAGTTGCACGCGGTAGGGCAGCCGCATGGCATACCAAACATTTGTGTCCGCATACGAATTCACGAGCATCGAATGAACTTCCTCAGCAAGCGAAAAGCAGAGTAAATCGTCGAAAGCGGCACAAGCGCAGTTAGTTTTCAGCAACGGATATGCAGTGAATAGAGACACTGAAGTCTAGGGAAGCGTGGCTGGAGGTCACCCTTGCGCGTATACGAGGAGAATTTCGAACCCAATGTCACGCAGCAGCCGCTTGTTCACGGGCCTCAGTGGGCGGCGTTGCCAACCATCGTGAGCTCATAGCGTCTCACCACAGATCCGTGCTGCGATAGTGACGAACCCTACACGTTTAAGCACGTGCGCTCCTGCACGAAAAGAACCCCACATCTCATGCAAGCGCGGAATGTACCCTTTTCAGTGCTTTTATGTCTTGGTGACGTAAAGCTAGGCCCTGGAGATGTGGTGCGGGTGTAACACTACTCCCGTAGCAACAACGATATAGTGTCCTTAGGTTGCAAGGAATTCTCAAGGAGATGAGGAATGAATATTCAATGTTGCCCCATTCTCCTGAATGGATCAATACTTGGGAAGAAAAGAATAATGAGGAGTGGAGACATCGTGACTTCCGCCGATGGGTGCCACGGCATAGGAAACCTCTTCAACATTGTAACGAATGCCGGTGTCGAAACTTTGAATGAGATGGAATCCTCACAATCAACATCAGATTCAGATATAGTGTCTGTCTAAATTCGGGCTTGTATTATTGATTCCTCATGGCAGTGTTGGTTTTTTCACTCATACTGTATGGCATCTTTACAGGAATTACGACGAGTTCGTGTACCTGGAATGGATGAAGAAGATTTCGCGGTGCGGCAAGTATTTTACGAGAGTAAGGACAAAACTAAGGTTTGTAGAGCAATTGCAGTCCCGCATAAGAGCCTTCTTGTCAGGCATTGTAGATCCCCATGTACATCATTTCATTGAAAGCAGCGCAGAGGAACGGTGATAGCCCAACAATACTGTATGGCTATGGAGGTCAGCAATCCCCGTACCGAAACTTTGCCTGGAAATTTAGCGAATTTTTACAGGGTTCGGTACCTCTATGATGCCGGGACTTGCCCTTGATCGACTTTTTTTTGCGAGACACTTCAATGGTTACATGGCATGGGCTAATCTTCGTGGCGGAGGGTAAATAGCTAATTTCGCTCATGTTTCCATAAGTCTTGCTCATGTTACGATTTATACTCTAAATGTGAAGCACGTGAAAGAGGCGCCAAAAAATTTTATTGCACAAAAAATTCAAAAGATTAAAAGAATTCGAAAGCTCTTGCAAACAAATTTCGTAGAAGGAAGTATTAGGAACAGAAAAATTCTTTTGCGAGAACTTTTGAACTCTTTTGGCCTTTTGAATTTTTGCAATAAATTTTTTGGCGCTCATTCATGTATTTCATGTTTAGATTAGAATAAGGCTCCGAGACAGCACCATATTTAGATTATACTCTATCATTTAATGCATGCATCACTCGTGTTCAGACCGCTGCAATTTCAATTTGAAGTGAACTTTGAGGGCTGTTTTTCATCTCTTCTACACGATGCACCCAAAGGCTAAAACACACTTTCTTTGACTCGTGGGATAGTGCCTCAAACTTTGATAAACATGGGACTATCTCTGGCAGGTTCCTAACTCCCAACAATCATCCTTTATAAGAAGAGCTTCGGCCATTCTGGCTGGCCAGTGGCTGCTGTGACACATACGGGTGATTTGTAGTGAATTCCCTCCAGGAGGAGGGAAAAACTCACTCATGCGCGCATGGGGCGCGGTTTTATGCAGTCACAGCGGCTGCAGGACGGAGTGAGGGACGATGACCTGACAAGAGGCTAACTTCAGTATTACCGCCACGCTACCGTAACCCAAAGCGGCGCCCAACTGATTGTGTTTCCGCAGCGGACCTATGTATAACACCGAATTTAACGCCAGCACTTCTATGAGAATTGTGCTGAAATACTTGCATATAATGCATTCTTCAAGGATGGACGGGAACTTCGTGCACATTTTAACTGAGCTTTCTTTCGTCTCGACATAGATGTTCTGCATTTTGGGCAGGTGCGTAGCGTTACGTACATTTAGCTCACTACACTTACAGCGCTTATTTCTAGTCACTTGCAAATGGAGAATAATTACATGAATATAATGAGCAGTATTACCTTGAACTTCGCACTATTCAACTAGTGCTACCTCAAAAACTCAATGGAATTTTTCTGGTGAAACTTCGCCCATGAGGATGGTTCGATGTCGTGATCACGAGTACGACATACATTTTTGACGCTGGCGTCACTGGATGCCCGTTTGACACTACCACTTTTCTCCCAAAACTCGATGTAAACTTGCCCACTGGGGTTATTCGGTCCCTGACCACGAACATGTTCATTTTGAGGCCTGGCTCCAACATTTTCGACACCAGCGCTATTTGGCGCTCTTTTAAGATTGAGCCTGGCACCTTCGGACTGAGCGAATGTGATATTCGTGTCAAGGAGGTCAGACTACCTCCGAGGAGAAGTTCTCGCAGTGAATTCAGTGATCTAGAGTTCTTGGCGTGGGCGCCTGTGGCGCGAGCGCCAGACAGCTTCAGGCCAAACGAATGTAATATTCGTGTTCAGGAGAACGAGCTACCCCTAGAACCGAGTTTTCAACCGAATCAGCCACCTTAGAGAAAAGACGGTCAAAAACAGGCCTGTCTTAGGAAGATCAGAATAGCAATAGTTGCATACCGCCTTGACTTCCTACAGACAGGAATTTCTTTTACAGTTCTTCCCTAATTTACAGCATTAAATTTCATCGCCTGCCAAATGAATAAAAAAGGGAAAAACGCCGTTATCACAACCCCTAGACGTAAAAAAATGTGGGGTGATCACTGAAATGAACTTTCGTAGCAATACCACTTGGCGCCAGTTCGTAGCAATTACAGCGTCCACTCATTTCGCTTTGGACTTGTTGTCATCGAGACGAGAGAAAACATAAATGGAATGTGCACGAAATGCACCCTTGACCAGTGTATTCATTATATGATGCAAGTATTTCAGCAAAATTCTCGTAGTGGTGTTGGCGCAAAGTACGATGTTATTCGTAGGTCTGCTACGGATTTACAACCAATTGGGCGCCGCTTTCGGTTACGGTATCGTGGCGGTAATACTGAAGTTAGCTCCTTGTCGATGACCTGCGCCTCCGCCATGTGCTCCAATCAGCAACTGCTTCCATGTGGAAGGAGGAAGAGGTGAAAAAAGAAGGAGAAGCGATAATTGGACAGATAGAAGATGCTTAAAGGTGAGTTAGAGGTAAAGTTGAGTAGAATGGTGTGGTAGTGGTGAGCAATGCCTCGTTGCGAAAACGAAGCGATCTGGTCCTACGCAAACGTTATAAAGTGAAGATGAAGATCTGGCAAATTGTCAATAGTTACTTGAAGGGGCTGATTCGCCAGTTTCGCCATTGACTGAAGTGATTCGCTCGGATTGTAGACTTTTCGGTATTCTCTGCTCACTCACCGGCGGAGAGTACCAGGCCATCGCCCTTCGCTCCGCCCTGCCGCCGCAATGACGTCCAAAAAATACGCCGTATTCGCCCATGCGTGAGTTTTTCCATGGAGCCGTTTTCACCAGAGATGCACCGAAGTGGTTAGATAAAATAATCGACGTTTCGGATGCCTTGGGCCGAAAAAAAATCCTGCACACTTCGAGTTCGCCATTCATAAATCAGTTCAGAAGGGATGAAGCCCTGTTTTAATGTTTCGTATTACAGACTGTTCTCTGATTGTCATTAACATTAGCATAAACGAACACCAACTCTGACTGAATAAATGCATAGGAATGGACAGAAGTAATTCTACTATATATAAACGGCAACGTCTGTCTTTTGTCTGTCTGTCTGTCTGTCCGGAAATTCGGAATCACCTGAAGAACCAGTTGGAGGGGGCGGGTCAAGGGTGGATTGGGTAGGGCATGGGCCAAGATGTACGGAACACACATGAATGAGCTAAGCCCGCCCACTGTGGGCGGGGCGTGCGCACAGTTTTGAGCTACATATTTCAAAAATTCGTAGTTCGGTTTCTAGAAGATCCCGGAGAGCGGAAATTGTGGGAAACGATAAGCAATCAGGTGGCGCGATGAAATGAGGGAGTCACACCCGTGATGGGGGGCGTGCTATAGGTGGGCGATGCTCATCGCAGAATTTTCAAAAATTCTTCGGTTCTAGAAGATCCGGAGAGCGGAAGTTGTGGGAAACGATAGCAAACAGTTGGCGGACGAAATGAATCAAGCACACCCGCGATGGGCAGGGCGTTCGCCGAAGTGAACGGTGCCGGGGACAAGAACTCTCAAAACACAGCAGAAAAACTCTAGGAAATGGGGAGTAAGTGAAACTGAGCAATGGTTGGGCAGATGAAGTTAGTGAGGGATAACCGTAGGGAGTATACCAAATGGTTGGTGCCGTTTATTTTGCGCTTCCTCATCAGTGACGGGAGTGCGGTATAGAAAATTTTGATGACTGTCTTCTAAAGGGGGGGGGGGAGGAATATATACAAGCAGTGAAACGTTAAAGTGCGGTAATTCTCAAAACAGTTTTTTTCGGCCATTCGGCTGCGAAGCCGGCCGATCCGACTGGCCCTCCCTCTCAAGGAAAACTTTTCACCGGGACCCCTTCACACCCGGAAGAGAGATCGGCCGGCTTCGCCGACCGATCAGACTGGTAAACAATAACCTAAAAAAACCAGGTTATTGTTGATGATAATGATCCTGAATGACCCCACCACATCACACCAATACGTAAATTTATCCCAGCATTGTTTAAAAAATCGACGGAGCCAAATTAGCTTCAGTGCCGAGAATGAATGTGTGTGTCTCATGAGGTTGATAAACCACTTACGCACGTTTCAGCGAAAGCGCCCTTATGAGAGGCCGAAAGGATCGGAACGATTTGTGACTATCTGACCAATGCCTCGTCCTACTGAGACTCAATCCCAAGCCAGTCATCACTTAATCATGAGAAAGACCACTGACTAACCCAGTCCGATCCTAGAGACCCTGGCTTTGTGGGATGTCGAAGATGTAGCCCTTTTTGAACGGCGAGTTATCGGCTTCAGGAGGTCCTTCCGCACCTCATATCCCTAGCAGACATCTTTGGAACATGTTCCTAACAACAGCGTGTTCAATCTGAAGATAGTGAGCTGATCGGCAGTGGGCGATGATGTTTTTGCTGCTGGGGCTCCTGTACCACCTTGTCGAGGCATGCCACCTTGAATCTTCATTCTGAATGTTCAAGAATGGGAGCCGATTTTCTGGAGATTCTTCCGGTGTCAGTTCTATTTGCTCAAGGTGCGACTTGACCAGGTCGTAGTACGCACGCATCCAACTCATAATGCGTAGAGCGAGCCAAGATGCAGTGTAACGTCAATATAGCATAGGATGACACCCCAAGACACTCTCCTCTATTCTGGGAGTGAGGGCAGTGATGGGCGCTAGGTGTTGCGCCATAGCTAAGCCCCTGGTCGGCGCACAATATGTACCAGACCACCTGAAAATGTTGATTCATTCCTTAAGTAGCGTCACCATCTGGCTGAGAGGGAGACTCCCTGTATGTTGACGCCTTGGCGCTGACCTAGAAGTTCCAGTCCAAAAGTTCCAGTCTAAGAAAAGGCGGTGGAGCGAAACTCACTCCAGTGCCGAAAATGATCGAGAGGATCGGCGGCTTGATAGGTTCTGCATTGTTTCTGATTTCGATATTTCATTTTTATGATATTCAGTGAATACGGCGAGAATTGGCATCGGGCTGGAATGAGAGAGAAAAAGCAGAACGTTTTTGATGATTTCATTGCAGCAGCCGAATATTTGATTAGGAACAACTACACGAATAGTAAAAGGTAAGAGTAATCCAGTATTGTGTTGAAATATTATTGAACTGTTCTCAGAAGCAAGCCATTATGTTATAATCTGAGGCACTGCTCACCTGACACCAGCGCCGAAAACCAGAATGTTTATCTAATTTCTTTTGTAGTTTGTCCTAGAGGATGGATTCGTCACCGGTGATTCTCGGCAACTTGAACACGTAAATCACATCTGTATTGCGCAGGGAATTCCACGTTCTCGCTTTAAACATCCTTGTACTAAATAAATGAATATGATACGATCTTTGACTAAAAAAGT